AATTAAGAGAGACAAAGATGGTCACTACATCCATGTGAAAGGAACAATCCAAGAGGAAGAGATGACAATCATAAATATCTATGCACCAAATACGAATGCCCCCAACTGTACAAAACAAATACTAATGGACATGAAAAACCAAATAAGCACTAATACAATTGTAGTGGGGACCTCAATACCCCACTATCACCATCCTGGCCATATTGCTTTTGTCTCTCCTTTGTTTAGAGATAGCCCGGCAGATTGTTCCTACAATAAAGGCTTGTTGTAGCCTGGTCTGGTCTTGGTTTTCAGCTTTTTTACCTGGCAAGTATGACCTCTGCACTCCCAAGGCATTTACAGCCAGAGCTTCATTTTAACTTACCGTATGTGCCAAGACTATTTCCAAAGAAGGTCACATTCTGAAGGCAGACATGAATTTTTACAGGGACATTACTCTTTTAATTTCATATTACTAAATAATACTCTACTATTTCTTTAATAATCATTGCCTGACTCATGTGAACATGAGCTCTGCGAGGTCATGGTTCCCCCTTATGCCGTATCCTTAAGTTAGCAGGCAATGCCTACAATAGAATAAGACCCTGTCCAGTATTTATTGAATAATTAAATGGACATCTTGAAGAACACAAATAGTAGCTTATTTGCACTGACCCAAGAAGTTTTTTTCAGCATCATGTAGGAAATGCAGCTATAGACATGAAAAAATGGCAAAGCAAAATTTAAATTTGGGCATAGGACTTTTTTTTTTCTTAGCAGTCTCAGAGTTTGAAAAGCTCCCAGAAAACTCACAATGGGGCCTTTGTTCATTCCTCTTCCACCTTCTGGGGGGATCTTCTCTCAACCCCCAAAACCTTCCACTTTCTAGTCTTCAAAGTCTATGCTGCTACTCTGCTGCTCCAGCTAAGCTGGGCCCTCTGCACTCCCAAGGCATTTACAGCCAGAGCTTCACAGGTAGAGCACGGTAACCACTATGAGTAGTTTCTTATGCCCATTGACCTTCAGATGATTTCAGATTTCCTCTTAATCCTTAATGTTGCTCAGTGTCATTATGAGGTATCCTCCTGACATATTTATAAATCGTTCTCTTTTCTCAGTATCTATTTTCTTTTTCTTTTTTTTGGTACCGGGGATCAAACTCAGGACCTTGAGCTTGCAAGGCGGGTGCGGTGCTCCTGAGATCCCCAGCCCCCAGCCCCTCTCAGTATCTATTTTCAAACTGAAGACTCATTTGTGTGTTTTTACTTCTGTATCATATTCATTGTCTCTTACATAATTTCATTGTACCTTCTGCTTTCTTCTTGGGAACCCTTGGAGCTAGAATCTTTTGATCTGTCATATTTCCTCTGGGTATCTTAGCTTTTCTGTCTTTTTTTTCTTTTCATCTCTTTGGTCTGCTTCCTGGGAAAATTCTCCATAATGCTTTTCAGTTCACTGGATCCCTTTCTTTGATTGAACACAGCCTAGAAGTTATCCTACCCATTAAGCTATTTCAATGACTATTTTTCATGTTCAGGATTTCTCCTGTTTTTTGCATATCTCTATGTTCCTGTTTTACAAGCACCTGCTTAAGTTTTATTTCTTATTCTTTTTTATGTGTTAGTCTTGCATTTATTGCTTAAAGATTTTAAACATTTCATTTATATCCATTTTAAATACATTCTAAAGTTGGCATTTCAGTGGCAGTAAATCCACTTCCCAGTTAATTTTGTGGGCCACTTTTCTTCTTGCTTGGCTTTCTTATTTTGGGAACTGAGAAAATGTACCCCAAAGTGCGGTGCTTTCACATGCTGACTGGGAGAGTCTCAGAACCAGGTCTCTTGACCCTCTCTGATTCTTTTTCTCTACTGAAGGTCAGGAAGATTTCTCTGAAGTTCTGGATCCACCAAAGATTATGCAATGGCCTTAAAAATCTCAATAAAAGTTCACTAATCAAGGACAATTAAAAAATTATCATGAAGGAAGAGACTGAAAGTCAAACAACACACCCAGACCCAGGGGGACTTGGTCCAAAGCCATTGTGTGTTCTCTGGACTAATTAGTTTCTTCTAAAATTCATCTACTCACCTCTGAGACTGCCTATAGTCCCCACCTCCCTCTCCCTATGAAGAGAATATTTAAGCTTCAACCATCTGGCTCTTTCTTTGCGTTTCATATTTACTATGGCTTCCATGTAGAAATGCACCTTAAAAAAATGTGTCGTGTTTCTCTTGTTAACCTGCCTTTTGTTATAAAGGTATTAGCCAGGACCTTTTATAAAGGGCAGGAAAGACATCTTCCTCTTTTGGAACCTACATTATATACTTCAAAAGCTCATCTTTTGGGTTCAACTTGAATGGCAGCTATTTTATTCTCTCAGTGTAATTACTTCTGCCTGGAAATGCTGTGGTTGCCTCCACCTGGTGCTTTAAGGTAAACAGTTCAGGTGCAGGTCTCAAATGAGTGGCCCAGAGTTCCCAAGCAGTATTAGCTACAGGTCTGCAAGCTTCAGGCAGTGGCACTGGCTCTGACTGCCCTTTGCGTCTGCAGTATTTTTGCTACTTCTTTGCAGAATTTCACTCCTTATGCTGCGGCCCAGTGAAGCAGCAGCTCTTGCCCCAGCTCACTACTATATGTTTGGTCTTATGTCTCCTTATGGGGGACAGTTGCCATATTTTTTGTTTGTTTGTTTGTTTTTTTGGTACCAGAGATCGGGTCCTTGCGCTTGTGAGGCAGGCAGCAGAACCACTGAGCTAAATCCCTTAGTCCATGTTTTTTAATTACAATTTTATACTGCATGCAGCTGCTTTATTTGGAATTTTAAGAATGAAGGCATAGATTATCTTTTTTTTTTTTTTTGGTACCAGGGATCAAACTCAGGTCCTTTCGCTTGCACAGCAGGCAGCAAAACCACTGAGCTAAATCCCTGGCCCACATAGATTATCTTGATCAGAGCTCTCCTACAAAGATTTCACTTCCTAGAAGACAATCTCCTCAAAGTTTAGCCCCCCAAATAAGGAGGAAAGCAAGGTCAGGCTAAAGACACCAAAGGCTCATGGAAAAGCTTGCATGCTTCAACCACTAACCTTAAAAGGTACAAATGTTCGTATCTTGGATATCCTTGGCCTCCTGGACCAGGTCTCAGAATTACCCTTCATCATGTCTGTGACCACAAGAGCTCAGGATTCAAACCGTGAACAGTCAGCAGAGCTAGGGCCAGGTGACACCCCAAAGGCTCTTGGACTCACTCCCTACAATGCAAGGTATTGACCTGGGTGAAGAGGCTGCCCCAAGGACGCTGCAGGGGGATCTGGAGAATGCTGTGGACTCTGGACTCAGGTTGCCCGGAGCACAAGGGCTGCCCCAGGCCCGAGCTGGGACCTCCCTTCTCATTTCCCTTTCCTGAGGAGCATACTTCCTCCTATCACTGTCTCTCTTCTCTTCACAGTGCCCATTTCCTCAGCATGCTCTGGATCCCATTGCTTCACAGTTCGACAGAAGACCCGTCCCCAACTTCAAGTATTGCTGGCTGCCGGATGCTAAGTGTGTGTCCTTTCCTGTGCCATGCTTGAGCCCTGAAAGTTACCTCTGTTCCAGAGTGGAAGGACTGTAACCTCTTGAAAAAATGACTGAGATTCTGGACACAGACACTGTGCTTTGGGGAGAGAAGTCCCTTGCCTCCCTATGAGTAGGGCTTACTGGGGGGGGGGGGCTGGGATGGGGCAGGGAGATCTTAGGAATCAAGCCTCTGCTTCAGGGTTTTTTCTGTCTGCCCCACAACAGTGAGATTAAATTTATCACAGCTTGTTCAGCCTCTAGCACATAAATGTATCCACACTTCTACCTTGGGGCTCAGACAGGTTGAGGCAGGCACCAGGAGGATAGAGGCTAGACCTAACACAGACCTCTGCTCTCCTCCTGCCACCTTTCCCAGGAGGTCAGGCAAGCCTTGGCTCTGGCAGTACCCCGGTTTGTTGCGATACAGGTGCATCCTGAAAATGAGCTGGATGTGACCCACGGGAGACTCTTCTGAGCCACTGGAAGCTGGAGCTGATAGAGCAAGTGTCACAGATAGCCTCTCTGATGAGCAGCGGACAACATCTGCCCGGTGGTGATGGTGCATGCCCTGGGGAGGCGGCTGTCAGCTGCGTCCCTCTCCATCCTGGTCTCTGGCACCTACCGTGCCTGGACTGTGTTTCTGCACACCCCCCTTCTCTTTCTGCCTGAGTGGCAGAGCTGACTGGGCCGAGGCGGAGCCTGACCTCACTGTGAACCCACAGGAAGTGAGGGGCTCCCGCAAGCCCACTCCCTATCAGCTTTTGGAACCCGCAAGTGTCTGATGTGTTCTTGTGACCAAGGATTTATACATAGCTCTACCAACACATGGGGGAATCCTGGAACAGGATTAAACTATCCATCGTAGATTGTGCTGAAGATACTTGTGATGCAGACAAATCATTCTTTTACTAGAAGCCAAACTCAAAATTGGAAGTTTTCAGCATTCCTTAGATTATACGTAACACTGGAGATAATCAGTGATTTTGTGTGTTCTATGGTTTATTAGTTTAAGTCCTGTCCTTTTGCAGTAAGTTCCAATTTGCTTTCACCTTGGTATTAAAGTGTATGAGGGTCAGACACTATGCTGGGCACTTAATGCAATGATTCTGCCGAATCATTGTGAAGCAGATACTATTGTTGCCCATTTCACTGATGAGTGAACTGAGGCATGTGAGCATTAAGACCCTGCCCTGGGGGCCAGGGATTTAGCTCAGTGGTTTTCCCCCCCTGCTGCACAAGCGCCAAGGACCTGAGTTCGATCCCCAGTACCAAAAAAAAAAAAAAGACCCTGCCCTGGGTCACACAGCAAGGATGAGTGACCCTCTACTCCCATATTCCTAACCATGGCTCTACTTTCCTAACTTGCTCTCCAGTTCTCGCTGAAGTTCCTTGCATTCACTGTTGCATGTAATCTCATTTGTGGGGGCCAGACTGAGATGGGGTGCTCATGCCAGGAACTCAGGGGCAGATCAGCAATCAGAGCAGAGCGCAAACATGTAAACTGGATAGAAAAATCAGGGGGATAAGATTAAAAGCAGTTCCATGAGTCAGTTCTATTCTTCACTAAAATATGATGCACTGTTCCAAAGCATGAATAATTTTGTGATGATAAAAATAACATTTTTAAGTACTAAAAATTAAGATGATAATAAGAGTAGAAGACAGAACAAATCATTCACAACTTACTTAAATTCGTTGCTTATTTGGGATGAGAGAACAACATAAATTTGAGATTACGTACAATCAAAGCAGAATTCTAAAACATTAAGAGTTACTGGTCAAACACTTGTGGATTTTTCTACCGAAAAGTGATCTGGTTTTTTTAATAAATAAAAGACCACCTCCTCCCTTTCTGCCTTACGAGAGGGTAACATTCTAGAATAGCAAAGATTTTAAGAGATACATCAAATACATGCAAAGTGTAGACCTTCTTTGGATTCTGATTAGAAAAACCAACTTTAAAAAAAAGAAAAACCAACTGTATAATGGATATATGGGATAATGTGAAAATTTTGATCACAGGTGGTACACCATGTGTTTGTTGATATGAAGGAATTACTGCAGTTTCATGGTGTGTTAATGATACTGTTGATACACATAATTGGCAGAGCAAAATGCAACTTTATAATTTTATTTTTTATTAGTGTAAGTTTTATTAGTGTGTGTATAATACATAATAGTTATATTTGTTTTAGGGAATTGGTATATAGTTATTATGTGTGTGTGTGCATATATATTTATATTATGTGCGTCTGTGTATATATATATATAATTTCTTGATCATATTAGATTCTTTACCTCCCCCCACTCATCCCCCTTCTTCTGATCCTCTTCCCCTTATTCAAAAAGCCTGCCTCTCAGTTTTCTACCGTCTTTCTTTTTTACTCTTTAATTAATTTATAACCTTTCCTTTAGAGACGAGCACTTTTTAAAACTTCCTCAGGCTAGGGCATAAATGCTACCTGCTCCTTTCCTCACCCCAGATGAACGGACAGATTATGCAGGACCTGGCACCAGGAGGTCAAAGTGCTATTTCCTTCCTGCAAAGAAGCAGAAGAGGGCTGGGAGGGATGAAGAAAACGGGGAGCTGTCTCTTGACTCTTTGTATTCCCTCATCCCTCTCTTCCTCACTATAAAGGACCCTTGCACACCTGGATGCAGTGAGATGGTGATCTGTGGTGGTCTGAGCCCCTCCATCTCCTCCAAGCTAGCTTTGAATAAAGCCTTTTTTTCCTTTCTCCAAAAATGGCCTTCTGTGGTTCATCTGGGAGACACAAGCAAAGGACCAGATCTATGGCCTGAGCAATGGGTAACAATGTCTTCATGGTATGTATAAATCACCCACAGATGAAATTAGGCAATGTCTGATTCACTTTAGAATATTTCAAGAGCTGAGGGGGGGCTTTTGCTGAAACAAGGTGGGCCCTGAGTTGATACTTGGTGGAACTGGCTAACAGGTCCATGGAGACTCATATTCATTTGTCCACTTTTGTACACGTTTGAAACTTTCCACTAAACCAAGAGAGCAGGGCAAGGGGTCAGACTGAGCAGGCAGTGGTCACCACTCCTGCAGTCATACTGCTGATCCCAAACACTGGTCAGAGGTAGGTGATAGCACTGAGTCTTCCCCATCAGGACTGCTTTCGGTTTGCTTAGAGCAATTCTACAAGTACAGATCTTCTGGCTGCAGATGGCCTGGGCTAGAAAGGGAAATGGATACCTCCCTGCAGGTCTTTTCCAGCACGTGCTGGGACTGGAGACAAGAAAGCATTTGGGAGTCAAGAGAAAGCCAGTTTGGCAATCCTGTCTCTATATCTGCTGTGAGCTAGTGTGGAGGAATAGGTGGGTGGGAGGGAATCAGCAAAGCAGTGCTTGCTCACTTAGAAAGAGACACTGGGACGAGCCTGCATCCCTCTGTGGTAAATTGGAAATCTATTACTATAAAGCACAAAATGTTGGTAGAAAGAGATACAGTTATCTTCAGTCTGACATCCCCACTAGATGGGAAGGCTCTTGTTGGAAGGCAGTGGTTGGCTGCTGGTGTCCTTACATTTTCTGGCCCTTATCTCTTCCTCTTCTAGCTTTTTACAGGCTGCTTGGGAGAGAAAGCAAGATCCTAATTTATGCAAATAAACAGCTGAATTGCTTAATTAGAAACAAGTCAAGTCCTTGAAAACAAACAATAACTGTGATTAAGTTCAGGATCTTTGAGCAGGAGACATACCTCTGTTAATGGTGCATATCTAGATGTCCCTGCAAAGCCTCATGTGCTCATAGGTGGGGCCTTGGGGAGGTGATTGGCTTATGGGGGTATGGCATGGAAGAGTCTATCTCCCTCCCTCCTCCCTTGATCTCTCCTGTCTCCTGTCACCATGTCATGAGCTCTTTCTCCTCTGCCATGCCCCCCTGCCATGGCACCCTGCCTTGGAGCCAACTGACTCTACAAACTGTGAGACAAAATAAACCTTTCCTCCTTTAAATTGTGGGTGTATCTCAGCAGCAAGGAGAAAGTAACTAAGACACTCAGATACTCTAGATTCCCTAAGAAAATCCCAGGGATACTTTTTTTTGTTTAAACTTGAAAATATTCTTTGAGTCATGTAAGAATCTTTCAAGTAGGAGGTGTACTTGGATGTACACCTTCTTGAAGGATGTAGGGTACTTGTAAAAATACAGATTCTGCTGAGTATAACAGCAAAGCCCTGTAATCCCAGCACTCTGGGAGACTGAAGCAGGAGACTGGCAAGTCTGAGTTCATCCTGGGCAACTTAGTGAGATCCTGTCTCAAAATAAAAAAAGGGCTGGAAATGTAGCTTAGTGCAAAGGCACTTAGTGCAAAGGTTCAATTCTCAGTGCCACAAAAATCCAGATTTCTTGGCCAAAAGGTACATGAAAAGATGCTCAATGCCCATAGCCACCAGGGGAATGCAGAGCAAACCATGAGACATCATTTCATACTTAATAGGTTAATTACAATAAAACAAACATGTAATAACTAGTGTTGGTGAGAATGTGAAGTTGGAACCCTCACACATGGCTGCAGAAACGTGACATGGTTCAGTGGCTGTTTCTTAAAGGATAGAACACACGACACAGCAGTTCCACTCCTACCTATTAGATACACTAAAGAGAAATGAAAACAGATGTCCACATAAAAACTGGTACAAATATTTATAGCAGCCTTATATTATTCACACTAGCCAAACAGTGGAAACTACCCAAATGTCAATCTACCAACAAATGGATAAACAAAATACGATATATTCATGCAAGGAAATGCTAATTGACCACAAAAAGGAATGAAGTACTGACATGCTACAACATGAATGAAGCTTGAAAACATTATATTAAGTGAAAGAAAGACGTCTGTGGGCTGAGTTCATGAAAAATTTGAATATAAGCTGCTTGCAAATATTGCCGTTTAATTATTTTTAAGAACACACTACCACCCAAAAGTATTACTGATAAAGTGATTCCAAATACCATATCCCTTGGGCAGGGACAGCAAACCTAAGACTGTTTGCAGGTACAGCAACTCGTGGGCACCGAGGACATCTACCTGCCCACCCAACTGGCCAGCTTAGCATATGCGCCTTCCAGGCCACTGACCATCCATCCCTCAGATCACGTGCCCTTGGGCCTTGCAGATCTGCTCACCATTCTCCTGAGTTTGGGGTCCATCAGGTCGGTGTTCTGAAGCCTTTAGCACTGCCCCAACATCCAAGGAATCTGGAAGAGGAAGTGCCTCCAAAATGATGAGGGGGTCTCATTAAATATTTCTCGGTGCCCGGACCCTCCCCATCCCCGGAAGGAAGATGAGGCTGAAACAGTGAATCCATTCATATCGGAAAACAAAGATGCTTCATTTAGTCTGACCGCTGAGGAAGAAACAATGTTTCATAATGCACAGATTGCAGGATGAGGTAGTGGCCAGAAAGTCATCTGATGCTCCTAGAGGCCAGAGGCCAGGTCAGGCTGCAGCTCCCTGGGTGCTTCACTGGGGGTAGGAGATAGCACTTTCAAAACAGAACAGTAGATATGCTTGACAGAGGCCAGTAGAAGAAGCTGAACTGAGGCCATGCAGCCACCATTTCCGGTGACCATATTGCTTTGTTTTGCTCTGGGCTCTTGGGGTGGAGCATCATAGGTAGTGTGTTCTTTTTCTAGGTAGGGCTGCTGTAACATAGTACTGCAGAGGAGGAGGTGTAGATGGAAGAAATATGTACTTCCAAGTCCCAAACCCAGGTGTGAGCAGTCTGGCTTCTTTCTGAGACTGGGAAGAGCCTGACACTGGCCTCTCCCCGATTCTGGTAGTTGCTGATGACTCTTGCTGTCCAGAAGCATCATCCTAGTCTCTGCCTTTATTTTCATATAGCACTCTGTGTGTGTGTGTGTGTGTGTGTGTGTGTGTGTGTGTGTGTGTCCAAATTTCCCTTTCTTATGAGGACACCAGTGATACTGGATTAAAACTTACTCTACTCGATTGAAATAACGGCATTTGCACCAGCCATGGTGGTACATACCTGTAATCCCAGAACTCTGGAGGCTGAGGCAGGAGGATTGCAAGTTTAAGGCCAGCTTGGACTATATAGCAGGACCTTGTCTCAATAAATAACAAATAAAAATGTATTAACAATTACTCTATTTCTAAATCAAGTCACAGTTGAGGTCTTGGTTTTAGGACACATGAATGAAGGGACACATCCTGCTATGAGTCCCCCAGTTACATAAACAGGGTCACAGCTTTCCAAAATCCACATGGATAGCTGTGAGCCCTGGGTGGGAAAGCCTCCCCAGAGGATACTGAGTGCCTCCTGGCTGGCACATGCCTGCTGAGTTCAGACCCTTCTGGGATGGTGCCTGAGTCTCAGCATCTCTCACTGGCTTCCAGACTTTAAGTGCAGGAGACTTAGCTAGAAGCTTCTGCTCTAGTTTCTTTCAGGTAAAGAAGCTGAGACCAAATGCTGGGCAATCCGCCCAGCTCCCCTTTATGGTGCATATCTGGATGTCCCACCAAACCCTTATGCGCTCAGGGACAGGGGCTAGTGGAAGGTCATTGGACTATGGATGTCTTCGTTACTTTTCTTGTTGCTGAGACAAAATACCCAGCACCCACAAGTTAAAGGAGGAGAGGTTTATTTCAGCTCACGTTTCGGTCCATAATCAGCTGGTTCCAAGGCCAGGTAGCATGGCAGAGGGGCATTGCAGAGAGGAGAAATGGTTCGTGGTAAAGCGGCCGGGAGACAGCAAAGCAGCAAGCAGCTTTCTCTCTCTCCCTTTATATTCCGACCAGGCTACAAGCCCGGGTGCAGCTGCCATCGATTGGTGCCACCTGCACCCAGGATGGGGCTTCCTTTACCCACACCTGGAACAGCTTTAAACCAATTTAGTTATCATACATGCTTAATCCCCAAACCTAGATCTAGCTACCTCCAAAAAGCTCCACCTATGAGCACATGAGGCTTTGGAGGGCCATCTAGATACAAGCCATAACAATGAGGGTGCTATACTCGGCTTGGCATTGGGAGGCAGGGTCTAGCTGGAAGAGGTGGGTCACTGGCAGTGTGACCTAGAAGGGGGGTTTGTCTCTTCCCCAGGCTCCTTCCTTCTCTCTCTGCTTTCTGGCTACCATGAGCTTCTCCTCCGCCATGCCCCTCTACCATGCTGCCCTGCCTTGAAGCCAGAAAATTATGGACTCTACAAAATTATGAGGCAAAACAAACCACTCCTTTAATTTGTGGGTGTTGTGTATTATGTCCCCGCTACAAGAACATGACTAAGATACTGTGTGATCCAGCATCCCATCTGGGAGTTGGTCCCCTGGACATGCCCCGCAGTGTTCTGGAGAAAACAGGACATCAGGGCATCTCAGCACCTTTGCACCAGGAGTCTGGGGGCTTCCCTGTGTTGCCTGGGGTTCTAGTCAGCAAACTGGGGACAAGCCTGGGGCAGTGGCCAGGCCAGCTGCCTTCCCTCACCAGCCTCACCATGGAGGAACAAGTCTTCCCCAGCTGTATTTCTGGCCTTTTCTGCTGACTGTGAAGTATAGGATGGAGCATCTCACCTCACCCTTCCTGACCTCTCCACTTCTGGGCTGAGCTCCTCAAAGCTCCAGCCAGCACAGTGACTCCAGGGAATAGGGTCTGGACCTTCTCCTAAGTCCCTAATTGCTTTAAAGTCACCCCAAATCCTGGCGGCTGGAAATAAGGGCCAGACCAATGGGCAGCAGTCCTGGCACGAGACAAGCTTTTGCTTTCCCCAAATAACCCCTCCCCTCAGAGAAAGCTTCTGCCCTGGAACTGTTACTGAACACTGGCCATTTCATTAACATTGAATCCAGCGTTATCATTTAACTAGGTAGTTAAAGTGCAAAGATTCCTGAGCAAGCACAAGGTTTGGGTCACTCAAGAGTGTAAAACGATTGATGTCAGACTTTTTCCCCCCAGAAATATGCCTCTGGGAAAGGACTAGTGTGGGGGGCACTCAGGAGGGAGGAGGATTCTCTGGATCCTAAAGTTACGGAGGTGATTCCAGGGCAGAGGGGGACACAGGGAATGCAGGTACTAAAGAA